AAAATAAATTAGAGGAACCTGAATGGCCTGGTGGTATAAGGTGAACAGAGACACTTGTCATAGGGAGAAAGGTGATCATAATCGCCACAGAGGTTGCTTGGAAGACGAAGATACAACTCGAGAAGGCGTTCGCGCAGTGGTGCTCTTGGCTAATCGGTGGGTAGGTGTTGAGGAACGGATGGGAGATTCTTCTGCTTTACGGATGAATTGTAAAGGTGCCAAAGGTGAGCCAGGTGAGCCACTAGAATGGACAGATCGGGGGCTAGTTCCACTGGGTGTGTGCAAAAGAACCGCAGGAAGAGGACCTTTGGGTTCAGGTGTTCTGGGTGGCCCTATCTCGAAGGGGTTTGAAGATTGTTCACCATCTTTGTTACCACCCAACGTTGAGGAGCTAATCCATTTTATGTCTTTAGTTCCCATGCTGGGCGCCTCCGGAATTTGCTCAACGAGATGGGCAAAGTGATCTCGAAGGAACTTTGACAACTCGCACCAACCTCCACCGACTCTCTGTAACAAGATATTTAGAGCGGAACCAATGGTAAGTTAAAGCACTTACCACCATAACAGTTTGTGACCGTAGAATACGGCAGAAACATAATTTGGCGTCTTCATCATCCCCAATCCAATATTTTCCACTTTTGTCTTCCCAACTGCTGGATGCTACCGCCTGAATAGGAACTGCGACCTCCATTTTGTTGACAATGTTACCAACAGCGACGTCCAACTTGTTCTTCGGGTTGGCGACATATGGTTTTCGTACAGGCGGCTTGGGAATGACGGGACGAGGGGTTTGGCTGAATGAGAGCTTGGATTTTAGCGACTGAGACGCTGATCGTTGCTTTGAGTGGTTACTTGATGCCTCCGAAGGGTTGGGAGATATTGCTCTGAGCGGCTTTGGTGTTTTATATGGTGAGAGCGGCGGCTTGAATGAGGGTTTAGTTGGTGTTTCTGGTTCAGCATTGGACGTGGTACTTGATGTACGCTGACGAGACGAGTATGTGGACCTATGCACGGACGAATTAGGGCTCACAAGTGGTCCTGAAACGGATCTCTTTTTAATAAGCTTTGGCTCGCGGTCTTTGCGACTTGACAAGGCTACGGAAATCGCCCTGCTTGATGGAGGCTTCGGGGTATTGAGAGGCGACAATAAGCTTGGTCGTGGACTAGGCCCGAGACCTATATTACCACGTGACTTTTTCTGGGAGGGAGTTTTCGGCATAGGTTTCTTAAGGGCCGCCGAGGATGGGTTAGATGCTGCCGATGATGCACTACTAGCAGATAAGCTACTGGTTCGACTTGAAGAGCGCCCATGGCCACTGGCCGTACTTGGCCTAGATTTGTTTGTGATTCGATCTGTAGCCATCTCCTGTAGTTCCGACCATGTCTGTTCCAGTCGCTCGCGCTCGGAAGTAACACGTGAATCTCGTGGAAGAGAATCGATCATTACATCCAGGCTACTCAGTAAATCGTTTGTGAAGGCAACACGTGCCGACAGTTGCTCTTCAGGTGGGTTCTTTGGATCAGATATGTGGTTCGACTGTAGGTCGCTCACTGGTGCTACTGGATACCCATCGACGTGTTCCAGTAAGTCACTCAAGGCAGCATCAGAGTCCGATATTTTTGTTGACAGCCAAGCGAGTTCCTGGCATCTATCCAGGGGTGATTTAGATTCTTGAATCTCTGAGTTTAGTGACTCGAAAGCGGTTTTGGCATTCGTGTTTTTATAATCGCGAGGTAAACCATCAGCGGATTCACAAATTTCGGCGTAGACAGACTGAAAATGAGCAACTTGTGGCGCACTAGGGAGGAGTGTGGCATGGGAAGAATGAGGAGAAGGATTTGCCCGATCTTCGAGGCTCATTGATCGAAGACGATTCCTTAGGCTATCGATAGTATCGAAAAGGCCGTCTTCATTAGGGTCGGCGCTATCCTCTGCAGCCACCGGCTGCGAGGGGATAGAAAAGACGTCTGGATTGAAGGTGAGAAATCAAGAAACCAACATGTATTAGGGCTTACCATCAATTAACGGAGATGGTGCTGGGGAGTGAAGTTCCTGGTCAGGCTGGACTACGAGTTCCTGTTCCATTTCTGCAAGACGGCGCTCCTCCTGTTCTTGAGCAACTTTTTCTTCCGCTTTTCTGAACATTTCTTGTTGCTCTTGTTCTCGACGAGCGATGGCCTCGGCTTCAGCTGCCTTTAAACGCATTGCCTCTTCCTCGAGCTTTCTTGCAGCTTCTTGTTGCTCTTGTTCTCGACGAGCGATGGCCTCGGCTTCGGCTGCCTTTAAACGCATTGCCTCTTCCTCGAGCTTTCTTGCAGCTTCTTGTTGTTCCAACTCTCGAAGGCGTTGCTCCTCCTGAATGCGTTCGATCTCTTGCATTTCTAGCTTGATTCGTTCGCTCTCTTGTCGCTGTTTTTCGGCCTCTCTTTCGGTCTCTTCACGTCGGAGACGATCTTGTTCCTTTCTCTCATTCTCCTCCGCTTCTCTTCGGAGTCTCTCTTCCTCTTCTCGCCTTTTGGCAGCCTCTTGCTCTTCTTTCAGACGTTTTCCTTCGTCTTCTAGTTGCTGAGCAAGGGCCTTTAGACGTTGTTCCTCTTGTTCGATGAGGAGTAAACGAGCCTCCTCCTCTTCTTGCTTACGCAGGCGTTCCCGTTCTTCTGCCTCTTGTCGGGCCTTTGCAGCTTCTTCTTGGACCCTTGCTTAGCAACTAGAAGACGAAGGAAAACGTCTGAAAGAAGAGCAAGAGGCTGCCAAAAGGC